GCTACTTTTTGCTTCTGTTTTTGGCGCTGTACGGGTAAGGCTTGTTATGCCATCTACAGGGAGCTATTTCCTTTCCTTCTTACCTGTTAGTGGTGACGTATATGCAACTTAGCTTGATGTTCCTTTCTTCTATTCAAGTCTCTGTCACATGTCGCTATACATATTCCATGCTCTTCCTCTTAGTCGGACATACACATTTTCTCCAACACTGTAAACAGAGGGCCGAATTCAAGCGAATCTGTGTTCTCTGTGCACGCTCGTCACATCTCCTCGTCGCTTTCTGGGCTTGTTTTCGCAGTTTAGAAGCTCATCGGGAACGTCATTTCCTATCATTTTCTGTTGGACGTATTTCCTCAGGCCTAGGAAGACATTCTTCGTCTAAATCGCTTTCTCTGAGGTTGTTACATTTTTGTGCAAAATATATTTCAAATGGTGTTTTGTGAGCAATCACATTCAAGTAATAAGTTTCGCGCGAATGGAATCCGAATTCGGTTTCCACGAACTAGACTTTTAACAGTCCAAACAAAGCAACTCTTTCACGTGACTCATGATGACTTTCGCTTAAGTTTTCAAAATCTTAGTGAGAGTAACCGACAAAAGTCCTTCTCAGGACCACACTCACCCGGACGATTACACAACACGATTACGTGACCTTCTCTATAAGTGAAACAAACCGTATTTTTTCAAAGTTGATAACAAGATTAAATCTTGTTGTAGAAAAACAGCAAAAGCCAGCTAAGTCTTCCAAGATTTTATGTGGTATTCATAAATTATTTCTAACCTTCGTTAAAGGAAAATTTGTTGGCGGTCCTGGTCTCAACCCAGTGGAGAACGTCAACGCTATCTTTCGAACGAAAATGGTTGACAAAACAGATGAACAAGGTAAATTGTCCTTCATCATCCCGGACGATGTGGATCGCTTGACTGTCACATTCCAAGACCCTACGGACCAATATTTCGACACCACACAGACAGTGCCGTTTCAGAGGGGCTAGACTGTATACCACACGATAGCACTACAAGAGGTGGACCCACCAGTGACATTCGACAGTAGTCAAGACTAAAGAGTGCCACTGGCACATGCTTGAGACAACATGGCGGAACTAGAATTACCTGCAGAGAGTCTTTTGGAGAAAGATGGCAAACCTTTTAAAGGTGAGTTCGAGATCGGTTGCTATGGATAGAGTTGTAAATCAATGTCTTTCTGGGATTCCATCTTCGAACCCTCGTGCTGCCTCAGCTAACACCTATTTTCCTAAATGTCTGATTATAACATTTCTTTTACCTAAATAAAGTTGATCACAGTATGTCAATTTTACTTTCAAAGGTAAAGCCAAGCTAAGGGTGAATTTTACGGATCCTAGAAACTCCACAGACTTACTATCCGCCGCAGGAGATTTCACCACAATAGACCAATACGAAAACGTACAGCAATTGAAGACATACGGGATACTAAGGATAAAAGTTCAAGACCATGAACATAAGCCACTTAATCTGGCAGGGAATATGAAGGTTTATCTCGACGCTGATCAGGTAATAAGTAACAGTAACTAGGGGCTCTCCCAGAGGACAGGGACTGAAAGTACTCTTAGTAATTAACGATCTTTCCTTCGCACGTGCAAGCTGAGTGGACGTGGCTGCCTTTATAAGATTTTTAAATCTATTTGTTGCATGTGAGCCGACGTTTTATTAACTTTACTTGAATGCAATCTGCTTTATTTTCTTTTACTTTCCCCATCGATGCCTCTTTTTTCGCTTTCCTTTGTGTGCGTGCTTTATTTTAAGTTCTTCTACAGTTTAAAACAATTTTTGCATTTTTGCCGTACTTTAGTAAGTGCTATGTAATTCTACTGGAGAAATGGCACCTTGGCTATAGTGGCTGGATGAGAAGACGGGAAGATGACGCTGAATTGAAGAGATGAAGCCTACTACTAAGGCAAGAACCAAACGACAGCTGGATGGCCGCCGCAGGTTTCACATCGGTGACATTCCAACCAATAAACTGTCCAACCTCAATATCGACATTCCTTGGAAACGCTGTTACGTTCGGGCCCTGACATACGCCGTGACGGAGAAAGGCGAGCAACCTGTCATCAGGGCCGTAGTCACTCTGATTGGAAGAAAGAACACTGATCAGGAACGATATTATGGGTTCACCAGTGACGTCACCAATGCAGGCGGCGTGGAGCGGCGTGGTGCGGCGTGGTGCGGCGTGGTGCGGCGTGGGGCGGCGTGGTGCGGCGTGGTGCGCATTCCGGCGTGGTGCGATTCGGATCCCTCTTTACAGTCAAAAATATCGTCTTGGGACCTGAAGAGTGGTAGTGAACTATTAGTTAAGCTAATTCCTGATCAATTAACCCTGGAAAAACTGTCATCTGCTCTAAAGGCGTCCATTGTAGAAGCCGGAATGTATCAAGCTCGTTTAAGTTCACCACAAAGATGAGCGGACGGGACGGGACCCATATTCGGCGGCGACGAGAGGCACGAGCGTCTGGATCCAGACGAAAATCTGCTGGCATTTCGATTTCACTTCCTAGGATCAGTACTGCACCAAATACCGGAGAGGACGACTTTGGTTCCTGGACGTCAGTCGGTCATCCACTGTCGTGGTACACGAAAGACGCCAGCAGACCCGATAACGAACGCACTAAGTGTTTTGTGAAAGTTTATTTTGAACCAGAACACTCACATTTATGCGCATCGCCTCCTTTGGTGATGGTGCAAAGTTTCACGCCCAATTTTCGAGAAAAAATATGGATTCCCTATACGAGAAACAAATTTCTTGCCCTTACAGGGAGGGTAAACTCCCAGTTCAACCGCTTGTGTTGAATACAGGTGCAGTGAAGGAACAATACTTGTTATGAGGATATTTGCTTTCTGCCTACAAATGGAATGTTCGGAACTTGATAGAAATTTCCACTCAGCATTAACTCATTAATTGTGCCTGTGTGCATACGAAGGAGTTAAAACTTAGACACCAATCGCTTGTTTGAGAAGGCCGTAGCTAGCGGAGGGGCGGGCAGGGGGAGGAGCGGAGTAGTTGCCTCAGACATAAGAAAGATATTGGTCTCTTTTTGGAGTTTTGATCATATAGTTTGAACATTATTACTAACATCACCTTTGAAAATCTTCATAACTGTTTCGCTCGTCTTTACTGAAACAGCAAACAAAATGAAAGCAACTCGTGTACAGGTCGCTATAGTTTTCCGTATGATTGGCAAACTCTAAACCTCCTTGATTAAATATGCTGAGCGAAACGTAGAGAATGTATCAAACTCAAGATGGGCTGATACCCTCCCAATCGTTGGTTCTAAGACCGGGATATGATGCACTAACTTTTCAAAACGTTAATATTTAGAGATACAAATCTATAGTTTACACTTTGAAAAAATATCTATAACGGCCGCTTTTGCGAGCCTGACAAGTTTCCTTCTAATAACATATTAAGGGACGGTTTTTGCTAGCAATAATTAAAAGAAATCATGTAAAAATATGTCCTGGTAATACCTCCACACTGTGCTCAGTAACAAGCTATTAGAACAATTTTCAATTGAGTCTCGAGAGTAATCCAAGATTGCATTGGTTTTACTTTACTACGCTCTGTGATTGGCGTAGAAAAGTTACGCCACTTTCTCAACCAATCAGATGCGAAACCAAAACCAATCGCGACTTCGTCACTCGCGTTTTCGCGCGCTTCTGGCCGGTTATTTGTATTTATTTACTTTGAGCCCTGATTGACTCCTTGTGATATCTACCTTTGTTCTGATTGGCCGTTGTGATTACTTTGGTTTTGGTTTTACGACACTCAAACGAAAAGCGCTCTAATAGTTATTGACCGCGAAAGAACATACGAATTCTAGTCTTCTCTAGCAGTACAACGTCCTGCAAAAACAAAAGTAAAAGTATCAAGTTTTATTCACTCGTCTCCGTATTGTTCAATGAAGTCTCTACTGACTCTTGGGTTTTATGTCAAGGATGCCACGCCAATAATCGGTCAGAAACACTTGGTCAGGGTCGTACTCTTCTCGCAGCTTCAACCAGTCATTCATCTTAGGGTACACTTCCTTCAGATATTCTGCATTGAATGTGGTATTTCCACACTTCTGACCTGGCAGTGGAAGGTACTTGCCCCAGTGAAGACGGGTTCCAGGAATATCTAGCAGAACATCCCAGAAGTACGAGAAGTACGTTCTGAGGTCACCCTTGTTGTACGCCCACCAGTAGGGATCCACTCGCACCATGTCCTGGTTGTAGGACATGCTCAGCCAGAAAGGACACTTTTTAGCGCTGTAGATCTCAGTGGCAAAGTTGCCGGCCGCTTTCTGATTCTCGGCAAACAGCATTTGGAGCTTGTCCATGACGGTTTGACACTGGTCAAGTGGGACCCAGATCTCTGTGAAGTCCACCCTGATGATGGAGTCCACGTGCGCTTCGTTGTCCATGGGCAGAGCGTGATACCATACGTCGTAGAAGTACGTTGGGTTCTTGTTAAGGGGTACAAACTGACGCAAACAGGAACCGATGATGTCATAATCCAGGGGTGTTGGATCTGGCTTTTGCAGAAGAAAATTGCAGATGGACAGGACGAGGGCCGCCATACCTGCCGCAAGGGTGTTGGATAAGATGGAGTTGTAGGGGACAAGATCTTTGTTTTTGAAAGACTGCTCTGCCACCCACTCTTGGACACGCATTACTTCCTTTTGCGGAAACCAGTTTACTCGCATGTATTCGTGCTTCTCGAGATTTTCTTTCAGCTTGCTCTGCCCTTTCTTGTCTGGTCCAAGCATGGAGTCGGCGAACTTGTGATCTGATTCCGTCCCTGTGACAAACTGCATCGGGGGAAGACGGAATGTCACTCGGGTTATGACACCAAAGAGCCCCATGGAAACACCTACTGCACACCAAAGGTCTGTTCCAGGTTTAGCCGTTTGAACTTGTCCGTTACCGTCCACGAACTCGATCTCTTGGATGACATCAGAAAAGCTGTGCCGTAAGCTTCCTCCGGCCGAGCCTGTCATGATGAAGCCGCCAACGGACTGCTGGATTATTCCTCCTAACTCGGGAAAGCCAAAACCTTGAACTGACACCTGATAACAAGCTGAGTTCTCCATGCTTGAAGTAGGATCCAGGGGATCCCTTCCAAGGTAGCAACCCGCCCCAATACGACAATACAACCATTTCTTACCCTTTTCTTTTTTCACCTGCAGTATTTCTACTTGTCGCAGCTCCTTCGTCAACAGCAGAGTGACGCCATCCACAGGAAAAATGGCCGCATCGCAGGAATGTGCCGATCCAACGACGCGAATGACTTTCTTTTCGCTCTTGGCCTTCAGAACAGCATTAACAACTTCTTGGACGGATGAAACCGGCGTACGAATGAGTTCTTCTGGCACAATCTTCCCACCGTGAGCTTCCTTCGTTTGCGCCTCATCCTTTATAAGATGCACCATAAGCGGGTCTAACAGGCCACGTCCCGGTGAGCTGTCAACAAAAGGAGTAACGATCCTGTTGAAGAATGCTTTGGCTTCAGTTTCTCTTGATACCTTGAGCGGAGCTGAAGGAAAAATGAAAATATCCCAAGATGAGATAGCACCGCACTATGGAATCGACCGTTATTGACCAAGATGGCTGGACATTGGCTAAGTTCTTTTTGTGTGTTTTTATAGACCGACGAAGTCGAGTTCCAGAAAAACGCAAAAAAAAAAAGAAGAACGAGGCCACTATCCAGCCATCTTGACCGTGCAAGCTTGGTCAATAAAGGTTTTATTATATGGCCAGACGTTTTGTATTTGCCGGTTCTTGTTGCAAAATAAATCCCAGAAACTCGTCTTGGCCATCTTAAAACGTACGGTTGGGATACTTTTCGACTCCATTGATGTAAAAAAAAGTGCTGGAGTAAATTTTTTTGCAAAGGGAAACGTTGCCCAGAAGTTACAAAACTATTTAAGTCGACTTAGAGCCATTTCTTTGTTTTCGCGAGACAAAGCGGCCGGGGAAATCTTGAGCGGACAAGTTAGGGTCATCTTGCTCGCTCGAATGTCGAATGTCGAATGTCGAATGCTCGAATGTCGAATCTATGTGCAAGCTAAAAACTTGTCGTTCTACTGGGATTGTCACCCGATGAAGAAGAATTCTACACTATTTTTGAAAGAGAGCTTTCGTTAACCAAGAATTTCGGCGAATGAAACCCAAATTTAACACGTAAAAATTATGCGAGCGACTGGAAAGCGCCAAGTATACCGAGCTCCTTAATCTGTGAACATGGCGGCTGAAGGCGATGCGGAACGAAAAGAAAAGCATCCTCCGTGCAGTGTAAGTATATGAATCGCAGCTTCTTAACATACCACTCATCTGAAATAATATTTTTTAGGGGTAGTCCATTTTAGGGTAGTCGATTTGGTTAGTCCATTAGGGGTCAGTGTTTTGTCCATCACCTTTAGAAACGCTTGCTTTTTGAGTATTGCTGCTTTTAGCATGGTTTTCGCCGTGAATGTTTGATCGCAAGATATTTATACAAGTCATGCAAATCTTAAATGTTGGACAAGAGGTAATACGCTCGCCCGCAGAGGCTTTAATTGTCCTAACAAAACAGTTAAAATTTAAAAGCGCGGTTGTAAGATCAACGATCTTCTTGTTATCACACGGCCGATTAGCCGAAAATTCTGGCTTGATTTATGGCATAAACGGTGACCGATTTCTGCAGCTATAAAATTTGTTTACACCAATTGCGCATCGGCATCACGCTTGTATCTATCATATTTCTGTCCTTTTGATAAGTTACATTTTATTTAGACACATATGTAGCTCGTCAAGAATTATATTTCACGTAATGCAACGTAATGGTAAATAAAAATACTACTTTAAAAGTAAACGATGTGTGTCTGATGTTATGAAACAGCGAAAGCGGTTTTGAGACTATCCTGCTCGAATTCAAATCATCGTGATGCCTTCCATGAGCTCGATAAAAGCTCTCGTAAGAAAAATATATCTCTGTTGAACTCTCCAGTGAGACTAGCCTTTCAAATCTTTCATTTGTTGTCCGTGTGCGGTAGCGATTCCATTTCTTTGACTGCAAAGAAATTTATGTTGACCCTACCCCAATGGAAACAGTTTTGTCGCAGAGGCTGACGTGACCAGCCCAATTAAACCAGGCTCTCTCTCTCTCTCTCTCTCTCTCTCTCTCTCGCTCGCTCGCTCCAGGGGGCGGGAAAAAGAGAGGCCCTGGGTACGAGATTGAACCGCCAGGTACACAGGCTTGAAATAACTCGGCGTTCGCAGGCCAAAAGGGACTGAGAACCTGAATCTGAACGGATCTCATGGTACCATAGACAATTTTTAATCTTTTCACTCCTACGAGTGACCAACATATAAATTCTCCTTACGATTTTAATGCAATCAGTGTCACGAAGGTAAGCAGTGAAAATTAGGAAAAAAACCAAGTAGGGGATAATGTCTTGACATAATGCCAAATTCTCATGGAACCCAACAAAGGTTTGTATGGTCACCGATTTAAAGAGCACGCTTTCAGATCTTGGTAGTGAAAGGGTCACTGACAAGACTTCATTTCATCACGTGACGTCTCGAGTAATAAAGATTGAAAGATAAAGGTGACAGTTGAGTCGAGGTCAAAGAAAAAGAAACAAAACATATAAACACATTCATCGCTGAAAAATCGAAACAGATTATGTTGTTTATTCACTCAGAATATGATCACCTATTGTATTGCCAACTATGCCACAGCTGACATAGTTAATTGACAATGTCAGTCAAAAGAAAATAACTCCGTTTCAGCTGTCAGTAATACATCTGGTTTGAATGTACAATCAAAACATTTATATGGACGTGTGCGAGTTAGTTCAATAAATATTTAGCCAAAGTAATTGCTTCTCTTTAGAATACAACTTATGAACGTTTTCGTATCTCATTTGTATCCCTTTTAATAGTATTATACTTTGAGACGGAGGAGCACAAAAAGTATAGACCATTTTCAGTCTAAACTAGCTAGCCAAAAAGGTTTACTACTTTGGAAACAAAATGTGGTCATATATGAAGCCAAGAATGTGTCAAACGAAATCGTATTATCATATTTGACTAGCACTTGATCTTGCACCTTCTTGGGGTAAATTACTTTGGTATCCAAATGATAAGTGAGATATTTTTAAAATGTCTCAAGAATGTGGAGCTATTTGACACTAAGCGAATTCTGCTTGCACACAAACTTGTTTTGGTCACCAATACGGAGAAAACTCATTTCATGTACACATGTAGTAATCCAATTCACTACAATGTCAACACTCTTGCTAACTTATAAAGCTACTTCCCTCATTTAGAATTTCCACCCCGCCCCCCTCCCCGCCCCGCATTCGTGTTTTTTGCCGCCAACTGAAGGCGGAAAATGAGCCGTAATTCTAAGTATCTGTTGATATGAATGAATTAATGAGTGAAGGAATGCTTGAATGCGAATGAATGAATGAATGAATGAATGAATGAATGAATGCTTGAATGAATGCTTTATTTAACGTGGATATACGCTTAGCTTGAGAGCTGGTTTACAGGTATTCCACCTAATAGCTAATGAGAACCTAACAACTAAACAACGCTAATATCACAATTCATCAAGTAAAAATCACAAATTAAATATTGATTAAAACTATTCAAAACTATTATTACAATATTACGGCCGCAGCCAAAATACTATTAAAACCAATGTCACATTCTTGCACACTTCTACATGTTATGAGGTGAAATATTAACATGTCTACAGTACTCATTTCAAAGCTAGCCCGAGAATATACACGATATCTCGTTCTAGTGGTTTGAATCGTACTGCAACATACCATACTTGATATAGAATTCATTGGTCAGTCATAGTGATGTATTTTATCGTACAATGCCGCCCACGACGTAAACGAAAACTGGTTCTTGTTAATCTTTTACATTTTTTTAAAGGTTAAATGAGCAAAAGGTATCAGTCAGCCTATTATATGATTTTGCTATGACCATACTAACTGTATCGGACGTGAAGTAGCCATGTATCTTTTGATAGCGTAATTACTGAACTAAAACTGAACGCATTACTGCGTCTGGTGCATTTCTATCTACAATTGAATAATCTGGATGGCCTATAGCAATGTGAATGTATGAGAAAATTCTTACCTGATTCCTCAGGAGCTTCGGCCATTGTTTCGGTCTAAGTTGTTTATTGAGATACAAGTTCAACCCAAACTCGACAATAGCACGCGCAGTATTAGCAGATAAACATTAGATACACCCACACGGATACACCCAAAGATTTTGCCGACTGTCATTGGTTGCTTCAGAGACATTTAAAACTTGTTTTCCTAGTTTTCCATTTGTAAGTACTTTGCGTGATTAACAGAGGCGGAAATCACGGGAACCGGAATGTAATTGGTCAAACCTGTTGACAGGGTCAAGGGCTAAAAATAAAGTTGTCACATATGCATAATTTGCTTGCATGCTCAGGCAGGTTTACAGTTAACAATGTTTACAGATGGTTTGTTGTGTACAGGTTCGACAGCGTGCGCAAGTTTCGTTTACCGACTACGAGTTGCACAAAATCTCAGGTTGAATGATCATAACATTTTTTCCTTAGAGGTTTCATTCGTGTATAGTTCAACATACAATACTATCAAAGACGCGAAAAGGTCAAAGATTCAGTAAACTTTTTTCAACATCTGAACACCGTTCCACATCAGTGGTGTATGTCTAGAACCAGTTTCACTTGGTTAGATGGTGCGCGTATTGAGCATCACTCCTGCCTACTCAGGAGTATTCGGATCCGTCTCTTTTTGTATCTTCAGAGAGAAGGTTAAACGTGGTCTGAAAGTGCAAAACACAGATCTGAGGTTCTCACTGAGTGTTGTATTTCCACATAAACGTTTATGATTGTGCTGTAGAGCTAGACTACGAGTAGTCCCTCTTTCGCTTAGTCCGTCGTGCGTGACGCGAAAGAAAACTGCGAGAAAATAATGGCCGCGCAAAACCCTGGGGGCGAGGAGTGCGCGAAAGGAGTACCGCCTAAGCCAGGGAGCTAGTTTGACCTTTCACGGCCGAGTGATTTTTCGGTGTAGGATTTCTTATCTTGACGTCCTCTTATTATCGCCTGTTGTCAATAACCTAGCCTGCAAGCAGGCTTACCTTTGAGTCACACGCGCGAGCGGCGAAGAGCAGTGAAGGGCAAAGCGATCCGGCGGGAAGGAGTCTGGGGAAGAGACGCTTTCTCGTCTCGCCGCGCGCACTTGTGCTCCAACGTGAGCCTGCTCGCAGGCTATCAATAACCCCGGGAGATATCCTGAACAAAATTGCTCTACTCTTCAAGTATCGAGGCAAAAACATGCCGTGAGAAGTATATCTTCGTTCAGTGTTCGTTCAGCGAAATTGCCAAAGAACTAGAGAGAAGTCGGCGAAGGAGGCATCTTGTAACGATTTTTGCAGCCTCTGTAGATGTAAATCTAAAAGTTATTGCAAAAATTTCAAATGCAGAGTTTCAACCGAGAATTTACATTATGTCTGATTTAACATAGGAGATCATCCAACTGCGGTGAAAATTTTGCCGATAGCAGCGGAAAGTTTCAGGTGAATGTCAGGTGAATGTCAGGTGAAAGTCTCTTTCTTTCTTTCTTTCTCAGCTGGTTATCGACTACAACAATGCGGATCATCGCACCCTCTAATTATTGGCAATTAAGCCGTTTGCTTGAAGGTCCTTTAGGCCCGGTTCATACGTCGCATTTCTGCCGTGTCGAATTCAATTCGAC